ACCTCCCCCCCAGGACCCTCCACACAGACCCCTGTACTCCCTCAGCACCCAAAATCCCTCCATTCCATTTCAGAAACAACCCCAAACCCTCCTTACAGACCCCTACACCCCCCCCATATTCCTCAATTACCGCTCATTAACAACCCCAGGTCCCTCCTCAGAGTCTCTCAGCCCCTCACAGACCCCTCAGCCCACCAAATCCCAAGCTTTCTCCTCGCAAACCACCTCATATCCCTCCCAACTGACCCCTAACAGCCCCTCAGCCCCCAAACCACACACTTTCCACTCAGAAACCCCACCAGGTCCCTCCTCAGAGCCTCTCAACCCCTCACATCCCAAACTTTCTTCTCAGAAATCTCTAAAATCCATCACTTCCCCATTAGAAACCCTCAGGACCCTCCACACAGACCCCTATAGCCCTCAGCAGCCAAAACCCCTCACTTCCACCACAGGAACAGCCCCAAACCCTCCTTAGACCCCTACACCCCCCCATATTCCTCAATTACCGCTCGTTAACAACCCAAAACCCCTCAGAGTCCCTCAGCCCCTTCAGCCCCCCACACCCCAAACATTTCCCTCACAAACACCCCCCCCACAACCCCTCAGCCCCCCAACCCCACACTTCCCACTCAGAAACCACCCCAAGTCCCTCAGAGTCCCTCAGCCCCTCACAGACCCCTCAGCCCCCCCCACACCCCAAACTTTCTCCTCACAAACCCCCTCACGCCCCTCCCCACCGACCCCCAACAACCCCTCAGCCCCCAAACCCCACGCTTTCCCCTCACAACTCACCCCACAGAGGCCTACAGCCCCTCACAGACCCCTCAGATCCCAACGTTTCTCCTCACAGACCCCCCATCCCCCCTTATCCCCTCACAGGGCGGTGCCGGGCTGCCGCCGCGGGGTGAGGAACAGCATTCGGGCGGGGCGGGCGGCGCTGGCGTCTGGGTGGGCGCTCCAAGGCTTGGCGTAGCTGTGGTCCAGACACACCAGGTCGAGCTCTCGCTCGTGTGCCGACAGCTGCAACAGCAGCGAGGTCCCCATCCTCCTCGCCGACCACTGCAGCTCCCGCTCGCGCTCCCCGCCGCGCTGCGCCATGGCACCGCCGCCCCCCGCCCGCCCCGCGGCGCGCACCGCGCATGCGCGGCCGGAGGGAGGAGCGGCGGGAGGAGGAGGCGCATGCGCGGGAAAGCGCGGCGGAGGGAAGATGCGGAGAGCGGATTCGGGTGGAGCGGAGCGGGGTGGGAGGAGCCAAGAGGAGGAAAGCGGAGCGCGGAGCGGAGTGAGCGCGGAGACGGCGTATGGGGGGGGTGCGTGGATGGGGGACATGGGGACTTGTGGATGTGGAGATACAGGGACATGGGGACAAATGGATGCGGGGTCATGGGGCACAGAGTGACATGGGATGCATGGATGTGGGGACGTGGGGCACAGAGTGACACGGGGTGCATGGATGTGGGGATACAGGGACATGGGGACATGGGACACGTGGACATGGGAACATGGGGACAAATGGATGCGGGTATGTGGGGCACAGAGTGACATGGGATGCATGGATGTGGGAATACGGGGACATGGGACACATGGACATAGGGATGGGGGACAAATGGATGTGGGGACATGGAGCACAGAGTGACATGGGATGCATGGATGTGGGAATACGGGGACATGGAGACAAATGGATGTGAGGACATGAGGCACAGAGTGATATGGGATGCGTGGATGTGGGGATATGGGGACATGGGACACACGGACATGGGGACATGGGGATGTGGGACACATGGATGTGGGATATGGGGACATGGGAACACAGTGATGTGGGTCACGTGGACATGTGGGCACAAGGAATGGGTTGGATTGAAAAGAGACTTTAAAGGTGGGCCATGAAGATGTCCGTATGGACATGGGGCACAGGGACATACGGAAAGGAGGGGCAGGGGGACATGGGCACACAGGGATGCAGTGACAAGGGGCACATGGACATGAGGATATGGGGACACACGGATATGAGAGCTTGGTGACACATCACAGGGACACAACGTGGGGACACAGCGACATGGGGACGGCTGGACAAGGTAACACAGAGCCACACAGACGTGGGGACAAACGGACACAGCGACACAGACGCACGGTGACACAGCTCCTGGGTGACATGGGGACACCCACCCCACAGCAGCAGCAGTGTCCCTTCTTGTGCCCCACCCCAATGCATTCAGGAACGTGACGGCACCACGGTGACAACGCCGTGGTGACACGGGGACACGGCCATGCTGAGGCTGCTGGTGGCCAGCGCTCACCTCCCGGCGGCCACCGGTGCAGGACCCGGTGTGCACGTTTATGCTCGCTTCAGAGGTACTGCTGGGGACAGGGGGACGTTGAGGTGGCTGTCCCTGCACTTCTGGGTGGCATCAGCCACCTTTGTGTCGTCGTCACGGGATGGGGTGGCACCGAGCGACCTCATGGGGTGGGATGCTGTTGGATGTCCTCGTGGGATGCTGACATGTGCCGCCCACATCAGTGTCCCCAACCCAACTCCTGTCCTTCCAGGTGTCCCCAGGAGCACCCGGGTGGTGCCAGCAGAGCGCAGCCCAGCATGGAACGAGGTGAGTTGACCCAGAGGTGGTCGACAGCAGCATGGGGGCACGTGGCCACCCTGCCAACCTCTGTCCCCCATCCCACAGACGCTGGTGTGGCCTCTGGCCGCACGTCCCCTGCGCCCCACGGACAGCCTGGCCCTGCGCCTGCAGCTCTGGGGTCAGCCAGAAGCACACAGGTGAGTGTCGCCCTGTGAGCACTGCAGGGTGCCACCCCCACGGTGGCTGCGCTCACTGTCCCCATCCTTGCAGGCTCCTGGGTGCCACCACGGTGCCTCTGCGCTGCCTGGCGGAGGACCCCGGGCTGCCGCTTGATCTCAGCCAGCTCCCATTGCGAGACCCTCAGGGACATCCCACGGGGGCCACTGTTTCTTTGCGCTGCTCCTACGTCCCCCCCGGGCAGACGGCAGCAGGGAATGTCACGTCCCAGCCGCCAGAAGGGGTGGCACCATGCCTGTCCCCCCCACGTCCCACGCCAGTGGTGGGGACAGCCATCGGAATGGCATCGCACCGCCACCCCAAACCTGCAGCGGGGAAGAAGGAGGATTTCCAGGTAGGGCACCCAAGGGTGAGGTGACTCTCAGTGCGATGTCCCTTGTCACCACATTGCCGTGTCCCATAGGTGCGGGTCAGGGTCCTCCAGGGCCACCAGCTGCAGGGCAGTGCCATCAAACCGGTGGTGACGGTCCTCATCGGCGAGCATCGCTTCAGGAGCAGGATCCGTGCTGGGAACAACCCCTACTACAATGAGGTGGCCCTGGGGACAAGGACCCGCTGCTGTCCCCTCATCCATCTCCAGTGCACTCATGGCTTTGCCCATTTTTAGGTGTTTTCTCAGCATTTCCACCTGACGCCTGCTCAGCTGGCAGCAGTGCCCATCCACATCCAGGTCGGGGTCGATGGCACCGTGGGGATGGCGACAGCGTGGCGGCCGCTGACTTTGTCCCCAACCCCACAGGTTCTCAACTCCAGGGCCATCCGTGCCGATGCCATCATCGGCGCCTTCACGGTAAGGATGACAGCGGGGGAAACGGGCTGACAAAGCTCACCTTGGCCCTTTTCCTGCACCGTCTGCTCCCAACAGCTGGACGTCGGCACCGTCTACAACGCACCCGGTAGGTGGCCCTGCACGGTGCTGGGTGCCCACGGGGTCACCGAGCTGCACAGAGGTGACGTGGGTGTCCCCAACCCGAGCAGGGCGCAGGCTGGCTGGGACGTGGCTGAGCCTGCAGCACCCCCGGCGCCCCGATGCTGGATGCTGTGGGTACCTCCGTATCGGCGCGGCCGTGCTGCGTGCCGGCGAACCCGCGTCGGTGAGCACCTTTAAGCATCGTTGTGTTAATGGATTAATTAACTAAAACATAGCGTGTATCGGTACGTACGTTTCTTTTTCTTCAAGGAGCGGGAGGAGGCAGCAGGGAGCCAGGAGGTGGAAGCCAATCTCTTGCAGTCTGCGTTGCTCACCCCATGCGTGGCCACGCTGCAGCTCCGCATCTACCGTGCTGAGGAGCTGCCCTGGGGTGGGTGAGGGCTGTGGGGGGCGTGGATGCCACCAAACGTCCCCTAACCCTAAAACTGGCCCAAACGTTTGTCCTAACCCTAGTGCCAACTCTAACTCTAAGCCTAGCCCTAATCTCACCCTAATATAGCCCTATAAAGAACCCTAACCTAACCCTAACGCAGCCCTAACACTAACCTAACCCAACCCTAACCCTAACACTAACCCAACCTTAATTTATCCCTAACTTAACCCTGACCCTAAACTCACCGTAACCCAACCCTAATCTAACCTAACCTAACCCTAACCTAACCCTAACCTAACCTAACTCAACCGTAACCTTAACCTAACCTAACCCAACCCTAACCCTAACACTAACCCAACCTTAATTTATGCTTAATTTAACCCTGACCCTAAAGTCACCCTAACCCAACCTTAACCTAACCTAACCTAACCTAACCTAACCTAACCTAACCTAACCTAACCTAACTCAACCCTAACCTAATCCTAACTCATCCCTAGCCTTAACATAACCTAACCCTAACCTAACACAACCCTAACCTAATCCTAACCTAACCCTAACTTAACCTAATCCTAACCCTACCCTAACCCTAACTTAACCTAATCCTAACCCTACCCTAACGCTAACCTAACCTAATCCTAACCTAACCCTAACCCTAACACAACCCTAACCTAACCCTACCCTAACCCTAACTCAACCTGACGCAATCACTCCTGGCACAGAGGAGCCGTCCCGTCCGTTCCTTGCTGGCAGCAAGAGGAGCTTCGTGGCAGCGGCGGTGCGCGCCAGCTTTGCGGGCAGGACGGTGGGTGCTGGGGGCACGGTGGGTGCTGCTGACCCGTGCCCAGGGGTGACAGTGTCCCCAACACAGCTCTGCACTCGAGCGATGCCCCCCGATGCCAAGCCCACGTGGAACGAAGTGCTCTTCTTCCCCCTGCGGGTGAGGCGCCCCCCGCTGGCTCTCCTCTAAACCCCTCATTTAAAATCCCCGATTGAATCCTCTATTTCTTCCCCCTCCCCAATTTTGTCCCCCCAGCTGCCCCCGCTCTGTGACGCCATCGAGCTGGCCATCCTTAGCGGGTAATTGGGGCATCCCTCAATTTGGGGGTCCCCCGGTGTTGCCCCCAGCCCTCACCCCTTGCCCTCAGGTCCAAGGTGCTGGGCACAGCCATGCTCCACCTCTCCCACATCTCCTCCGCCGGTGCTGAGCTTGAAGGTGAGTCTGGTCCCACCTTTGGGGGAGGGGGGGTCCCAGCTTGCAGCCCCTCCCTTCCTGAACCCCATGGTTTGCTTTAGGAGGGGTCCCAGGTTTCTTACCCTGCTTTGGGCCCAGCTTCCTCCCCTTCTATGGTCCACGGAGAGATGCTGCTGATGTGCCCAGCGTGAGTGCAAGAGGTGACAGCACGGAGCGTCGCCTGCATTCAGGGGGGACGCAGCCCCCCAGCACCCCCCCCTCTATGTTACAGGACACCATGGTGGCATACAGGGGCCGGGTGCTGCTGGAGCTCAGCACCCACACAGGGGACTCCGATGGGCGCCAGCAGGACGCCATCGCCCCCGAGGACATCACCCGCGTGCAGGTGGGGACACAGTGACGCGTGGTCGCTTTTTATCCCAGGGTAGGGGGGGATTATTTGGGTTTTTTGGGGGCATTTTCTCTTCTTGCAGCGCCTTCTGCCCCGCCGCCACCGCCTGGGGCTCTGCGCAGTGTTCTACTCTGCCACCATGCTGCCCCCCGCATCCGAACCTTTGCGCTTCGAGCTCAGCATCGGCAACCACGGGGACACCGGGGACACCTCGTGCCGCCCCGCTGCCTCCGCCACACCGCAAGGCCACCCCCTCTTTGATGGTGAGCAAAGCAGGGGACACCCCCTGTCCCCTTGGGGACACCGTGAGGTGCTCATCCCGCTGTGCGTGCAGGGAACCGCTACTGCTACATGCCTTGGCATGACAGCAAGCCGGTGGTGGCCGTCACCTCCAGCTGGGAGGACGCTGGGCAGCGGTGGGACGGGCAGAACCTGATGCACAGTGTGGGCGAGAGGCTGGTGAGCAGGCAGGGGTGGGGGGAGGCGTGGAGGTGGGGACGTGGGGACGTGGGGACAAATGGATGTGGGGATATGGGGACGTGGGGACGTGGGGCACAGGGGGTGAGGACATGGATATGGGGACATGGGGATGTGGGAATGCAGGGACATGGGACAAATGGATGTGGGGATATGGGGACATGGGGCACAAGGGATGGAGACATGGGAATATGGGAATGCAGGGACATGGGACAAATGGATGTGGGGATATGGGGACGTGGGGACATGGGGCACAAGGGATGGAGACATGGGAATATGGGAATGCAGGGATAAGGGGACAAATGGATGTGGGGACATGGGGACATGGGGACATGGGGCACAAGGGATGGAGACATGGGAATATGGGAATGCAGGGACAAGGGGACAAATGGATGTGGAGATATGGGGACGTGGGGACATGGGGCACAGGGGGGTGGGGATGGGGATGTGGGGACACAGAGACATGGGGGTACATGGGTCTGGGGATGTGGGGACATGGGGCACAAGGGATGGGGACATGTGGATGTGGGGACATGGGGACGTGGGGAGACATGGATGTGAGAACATGGGGACAAATGGTGACATGGGGCACAAGGGGTGGGGACATAAGGATGTAGGAATGCAGGGACATGGGGACAGATGGATGTGGGGACATGGGGACGTGGTGACATGGGGCACAAGGGGTTGGGGACATGTGAATGTGGGGACACAGAGACATGGGGACACATGGGTGTGGGGATACTGGGACATGGGGATGTGGGGCACAAGGGATAGGGACATGTGAATGTGGGCATGCAGGGACATGGGGACAAATGGATGCAGGGATATGGTGGCATGGGACACAAGGGGTGGGGACATGTGGATGTAGGAATACAGGGACATGGGGACAAATGGATGTGGAGATATGGGGACATGGGGCGCAAGGGATGGGGACACGTGGGTTGTGGGGACATGGGGACATGTGGTGCAAGGGATGGGGACACGTGGATTGTGGGGACATGAGGACATGGGACACAAGGGGTGGGGGCATGTGGATGTAGGAATACAGGGACATGGGGACAAATGGATGTGGAAATATGGGGACATGGGGCGCAAGGGATGGGGACATGTGGATGTGGAGACATGGGGACATGGGGAGACATGGATGTGAGAACATGGGGACACGAGGACATGGGGCACAAGGGGTGGGGACACGAGGATGTGGGAATGCAGGGACATGGGGACAAATGGATGTGGAGATATGGGGACATGGGGCACAAGGGATGGGGACACATGGATTGTGGGGACATTGGGACATGGGGTGCAAGGGATGGGGACATGTGGATTGTGGGGACATGAGGACATGGGGCGCAAGGGATGGGGACACGTGGATTGTGGGGACATGAGGACATGGGGTGCAAGGGATGGGGACACGTGGATTGTGGGGACATGGGGACATGGGGAAACATGGATGTGAGAACATGGAGACATGGGGACATGGGGCACAAGGGGTGGGGACACGAGGATGTGGGAATGCAGGGACATGGGGACAGATGGATGTGGAGACATGGGGATGGAACGCATGGATGTGGGGACACACGGATGTGGGCACGCAGGGACATGGGGACAACGGGACGGGGACACATGGAAGGGTTTGGATTAAAAAGGACCTTAAAGTTGGGCCGTAACGATGCCCAGATGGATGTGGGGATGCAAGCATACATGGACAGGGGAAAGTGGTGACCCCTACAGACGTGGGGACACGGGGATGTGGGGATGGGGGACGTGGGGACACACGGGCATGGGGATGGGTGGCAGGGATGAGCAGTGGGTGGGGGCTGGTCAACGGTGAGGTTCCACAGGAGGGAAATGTGGCGATGCTGCGGAACGCGAAGCCGGACGCCCTTGGGGACGTTGGCAGGAAGCTGCTGCGTGAGCTGGCGCGGGACTGCAGGTCAGCAGGGGGAGGGGGGGCTGTGGATGCTTTAATCATTGACCCCAATGCTGGAAGTGGGGTGGGGAAGGGAGCCCAGCACCAGGGAGGATGCAGTGGGGCGTTCCGAGGAAAACATGGGGCACTGGAGGGAAAAACAGTGGGGGTAAATGGGAGATTTCAGGGGGAAACTGGGCGTTTTGTGGGGGGTAATGCAGGATTTGGGGTGAAAGTTGGGCACAAACAGGAGAAAACGGGGAATCTGTGGGGGAAATAGAGCATTTATGGGGGAGGAAATGGGGCAATTGAGGAGAAAAGTGGAGCTTGGGGGGAAAAAATGGGTGTTTTGGGGGGGATGGGACATCAGAGGGAAAAAATTCCCCTAATTTTAGGGGAAAAAATGAGCATTTGAGGGCCAGTGGAGCGTTTTGCAGGGAAATTGGGCGTTTTAGGAGGAAAATCGGTGTTTCTGGGGGGGTAATGTGGCATTTGGGGTGAAAAATTGGTGTAATGGGGGGGAATCGGGTGTTTTTTGGGGGGTGGGAGTATTTTAGAGGGGAGTGGGGGGCAATTCTGGGGAGATACGGGGCGTTTGGAGGCCAAAGTGAGGTTGTGAGAGCTATTGGGGGTCAGGGGTGGTTGGGCTGGAGGATCTCGGAGGTCTTTTCCTACCTTGGTGATTCCATGATTCTACGAGATGGGGGCATTGCTGAGGGTTGGTTTGGATGGCAGTTGTGCATTTTTTGGGGGGAGGGGAGGACGGAGGGCATTTCTGAGGTGGAAATGGATGCTTGAAATCCTGGATGTGGCGCTCAGGGACACGACTGAGCGGAGGGCCGTTAATGAGGGCAGCAGGGTTGGGGCATGGTTGGACTCGATCTTTGAGGTCTTTGCTGACCTGAGTAATTGTAGGATTCTATGGGTATTTTATGAGAATCGGGCGTATCTTGAGAGAAAATGGGATGATCTGTAGGAAAACAAGGCTCTTTTTCAAGGGAAACAGGGCGTTTTGTGGAGGATCTGGGGACCGGGATGCAATTATGGTGTCATCTGGGAGGAAACGAGGGGCGTTTTGGGGTGAAAATTAAACATTGTGGGGGCAAGCCAGGCGGGTGAGCATCCCCAAATCCTCTCCCCAGGGCTGCCCTGCCTGTGCTGCAGGCCCAGCGGCCCCGGACGCGGCTGGACGTGGAGCTGCGCGCCGCCCGCCTGCAGCTCCTGCAGCTCCTCGCCTCGGCTGCCGCCGCCGGGCCTCCGCGCCGGGCCTGGGCCGAGCTGCTCCCCGAGGCCGAGGCCTGGCTGGGCCGAGTGGCCGCCCTGCAGGCTGAGGTGTGCAGAAAGCCCCGTTTTGAGGGGGTTTTGTGGTTTGGTTTCTTTTTGGCTCTTGATGTCACAGAATCACACACAGAATCACAGAATGGCCAGGGCTGGAGGGACCTCGAGGATCGCGGAGCTCCAACCCCCTGCTGCACGCAGGGCCACCAACCTCCACATTCAGCAGCAGCCCGGGCTGCCCAGGGCCCCATCCGACCTGGCCTCCAACCCCTCCAGGGATGGACGGGGCATCGCAGCCTCTCTGGCAGCTGTTCAGCCCCTCCCCGCTCTCACTGCACACAACTTCCCCTGACATCCGACCTCCAGCTGCCCTCCCTCCATCCAAACCGTTTCCCTCGTCCTGCTGCCATCTCCCCTTGCACACAGCTGACTCCCCTCCTGCCCGCAGGCTCCCTTCAGGCACTGCAGGCTGCACTGAGGTCACCCCGCAGCTTCTTTTCTCCATGCTGAACGAGCCCAGCTCCCTCAGCCCGTCTTCGTGGTGGAGGTGCTGCAGCCCCTGCTCATCTCTGCGGCTCCTCTGCCCCCTCTCCAGCAGCTCCCCGTCCTTCCTGTCCTGGGGGCTCCAGCCCTGGACGCAGTGCTGCAGATGGGGCCTCACAGGAGCAGAGCAGAGGGGGACGATCGCCTCCTGTCCCTGCTGCCCCCGCTCTGCTGACGGAGCCCAGGCTCCCGTTTGGTGCCCAGCTGCAATCACACACTGCTGGCTCGCGTTCAGCTTTGCATCCCTCAGGACCCCCGGCTCCGTCCCTGCAGGGCTGCTCTCAAGCACCGCTCCTTCCAATCTGTGCACATACCTGCAGTTCCTCCAGCCCACATCCAAAACCTTGCGCTGTGCTGTGTTGAACCTCATCAGGTTCACCCACACCCACCTTCCAAGCCCGCTGAGGTCCCTCTGAATGGCATCCCTTCCTTCCACACGGGTGTCCCCCCTCCACCTTGTCCTGCTCTGTCCCAGCCTCAGGCCGGTGTTCCCGACGTGTTGCTGTGGCTGCGGAGCGGTGCCCGCTGCCTGGCCTGTGCCCGCATCCCCGCACACCGCCTCGCCTGCTCAGCCCTCAGCCCCGCAGCCTGCGGGCGGCTCTGCGGACGGACGCACACCCTGATGCTGGAGGTAAGGCAGCAAGCGGCCCCTGGACCCCTCATGGCCCCTCAGCGCTTCTTCTACCTCCCCATTTCCCAAAAAATCCAGTCCCTTCCCCTCCGTGTCCCCTCCAAATCTCCTCCATATCCCTTCTACTTTCCTTCGGTGTCCCATCTGTATCCGCCCCATAGCCCCCTCTGCAACCTCTCCATATCCCCGCCACATCCCCTATGTGTTCCATCTATGTCACCTCTGTATCCTCCCCGCAGTCCCTTCATGTCCCCTCCGTGTCCTCTCCCCCTGTATGCCCATTCACCATTCAAACCACGTCACCTCCATCTCCCCTCTCTATGCTCTTCTCATTCTCTCCCTTGTCCCCTCCGTGTCACTCCCATGTCAACTCCATATCCCCTCCACTTTCCTCTCCGTGGTTCCTCTATGTCCCATTTATGCCACCTCCATGTCCCCCCCGTGTCCTCTCTAAGCCTACTCCATATCTCCTCCACTTTCCTTCAATGTCTTGTGTCCCTCCATAGTCCCCTCTACAACCTCTCCATATCCCTTCCATGTCCCATCCGTGTCCCATCTATGTCACCTCTCCATCCCTTCCAAGTCCCATCCATGTCCCCTCCATGTCCCATCTGTGCCACCTCCATGTCCTTTCCCTTCATGTCCCCTCCATCTCCTCTCCCCCTGTATATCCATTTAACATTCAAACCATGTCCCCTCCATGTCCCCTCCCCATGCTCTTCGCATCCTCTCCCAGTCCTCTCCATATCTTTTCCATGTCCCCTCTGTGTCAGCCCCATGTCAACTCCATGTCATCTCCGTGTTCTCTACATGTCCCATTTATGTCACCTCCATGACCCCATCATACCCAACCCCTCTCTATCTCCAAGTCCTCTCTGTATCCCGTCTAATTCACTTCCATGTCCCTTCAGCGCCCCACCTGTGACATCTCCACATCCTCTCCACATTTCCCCCATGTCTTCACATGTCCCATCTACGTCACTTCCCTGTCCTTTCCACGTTCATTCCACGTCCCTTCTATATCTTCACCCCGTCCCTTCCATGTCCCCTGTGTCCCCTCCATTTTCCCTCAACATTTCCCCATCTCACCTCTTCCTCTATACCTTCCCATGTCCCCTCTGTATCCCTACCCTCCATGTCCCCTTTGTGCCACACTCATGTCCCCCCACGATGTCCCCAGGTCCCGGGACACCTCCATGCCCAGCTCCGTGTCCGGCTGTGGCTGGGGCGTGTGGCTGAGAGCCAGGAGCTGCCGCGTTACTTGGAGGGCGCCCTGCACGTCTATGCTGAGACAGTGAGTGCTGAGCAGGGGACAGCGAGGTGACACCGGGACAAAGTGACATCGTGACATGGTGACATGGTGACATGGTGACGCCATGATGTGGTGATGAGGTGATATGGTGACATGGTGACACCGTAACGTAGTGACACAGTGACATGGTGGCATGGTGGCATGGTGACGTGGTGACACTGTGACATTGTGACACCATGACATGGTGACATGATACCAGGGTGACACAATGACATGGTGACTCCATAATGTGGCGATGAGGTGATATGGTGACGTGGTGACACCATGATGTAGTGACACAGTGACGTGGTGACGCCATGATGTGGCGATGAGGTGATATGGTGACGTGGTGACACCATGATGTAGTGACACAGTGACGTGGTGACGCCATGATGTGGCGATGAGGTGATATGGTGACGTGGTGACACCACGAGGTAGTGACACTGTGACATGATGACGTGGTGATATGGTGATGCAGTGACACAGTGACATGGTGACACTGAGACATAGTGACACCATGACATGGTGACGTGGTGACACTGTGACAAGGTGGTGAGGTGACATGGTGACCATGACAACACCTTGACGCAGTGACACAGTGACGTGATGACATGATGATGTGGTGACACGGTGACACTGTGACATGATGGCATAGTGACACAGTGACATGGGGACACGATGACATTGTGATGTAGTGACATGGTGATGCTGTGACATGGTAACATGGTGATGTGGTGACATTGTGACATGATGATATGGTGACACTGTGATGCTGTGACATGATGACATGGTGACATTGAGACGTGCCACCACGACATGGCGATATGGTGACACAGTGATGCTGTGCCATGACAACATGATGACATGTTGTAACGTGACATCGTAACATGGTGATGCTGTGACATGGTGACATGGTGACATAGAGACGTGGTGCCACCACGACATGGCAATGTGCTGACACAGTGATGCTGTGCCATGACAACATGATGACATCGTAACATGGTGATGCTGTGACATGGTGACATGGTGACATGGTGACATGGTGACGCCGTGACGCGTTGATATAGTGACACAGCAGTGCTGTGACAGGACAGCATGGTGACATGATAACACGATGGGGTGATGAGGTGACGTGGCGACGCCGTGACGCAGTGACACGGTGACATGGTGACATGGTGACACAGCGGCGCCCCATTCCTACAGTATGAGAACCAGACGAAGATCCTGGGCAAATGGAGCAGGCAGGCGCTCCCAGCTCGCCCCAGCTTCTCCGACGTGGCCGGCAGAGTGGCGCTGCCCCGCGAGCGCATCCGACCCCCCCGGGGCTGGTGCTGGGATGGGCCCTGGGCTGTGGAACCGCCGCGGAGGTGAGAGCCCAAGGGACACCCCTCCCCGTGCGTGGGGACAGCGAGGTGATGGCAGCTGCTCCCGTCCTCAGGCTGCTGCCGGAGCCCGAGGCTGGCATGGACGAGGTGTTGGAGGAGGTCTATGAGAACCAGAGCCGGCGGCGCGGCGGGGAATGGGGACCTGCTGCTGTGCCCAGCACTGATGTGGTGAGAAGGGGTGGCACAGGGGGCAGTTGAGTGGCACAGACGCCCCAGAGCTCAGCTGCTGCCTGCTGCAGGCCGGCGCGGCGGTGCCCCCCAAGGAGGAGGTGGCGTGTCCCCAAGGCTGGCACGTCACCGATGACTGGCGGGTGGAGGTGACAGGGGCCGTGGATGAGGCTGGTGAGCGATGTCCCCGTGTGGGTGTGCTGGGTTGGGGGGGTGGCAGAGGTGACAACGACAACGTGGGTGATGCAGGATGGGAATATGGGGTGAGCGTGGCGGCCGGAGACCCCTCACCTGCGTGGCACCCCAAAGAGGAGATGTATCACACACAGCGACGGCGGCGATGGCTGCGCACCCGGCAAAGGGACAGCAGTGCCCAGGAACAGGACACCGATGTGGTGGTGGGAATGGGGTGGCACATATGGGGCTGGTGGGGTGGCAAGGAAAAGGGTGATAGGATGGGGGGGGTAAGGGTGGGGTGGCAGGAACAGGGTGGGAGATACGAGGATGGAAGGGGACGGGGTGGTGGATGTGAGGGTGGTAGGGAGGGGGTGGCAAAAATGGAGTGGTGAGGTTGGGGGTGACAAGGATGGGGTGGCGGGGTGAGCAGAGTGGAGTGGCGCAGGTGGGGTGGCAAGGAAGGGGGTGACAGGATGGGGTTGAACAGGATGGGGTGGCTGGAAGGGGGTAGCAGGGGTGGAATGGCAAGGATGGGGGTGGGTGACAAGGATGGGGTGGCAGGGACGGGTGTTTGGCCACCAGCCCCCTGCTCTGTGCATCCTTCTCTCCCCACACCGCCACCTTTGTGCCACCCATCCCCACAGCACAGCCCCGAGGCTCCGGATAAAGCATGGGAGTACGCATCCCTGTGGGGCGGCCGCTTCCATCTGCAGCGTCAAGCGGGTGATGCGTGCCGGCGGCGCTGCTGGCGTCGGCACATGGTGCCAGAGCTGCCCTCATCTGTGGCTGCCATCTTCCTCCTCGAGGGCACAGCGGTACGGATGGGGATGGATGGAGGGATGAGAGGGATGGGGGTGAAGGGAGGGACAGAGGGATGGAGGGAGGGATGGAAAGGGATGGAGGGACAGGGGGATGGATGGAGGAATGGATGTAAGGAGAAAGAAATAGGGATAAAGGAATGGGAAGGACAGAGGGATGGAGGGAGGGATGGAAAGGGATGGAGGGACAGGGGGATGGATGGAGGAATGGATGTAAGGAGAAAGAAATAGGGATAAAGGAATGGGAAGGACAGAGGGATGGAGGGAAGGAGTGACGAAGGGATGGAGGGGCAGAGGGATGCAGGGATTCAAGGATAGAGGGATGTAAGGACAGAGGGATGGATGCAGGGATGAATGGACAGAGGATTGGATGGATGCAAGGGCAGGCAGGGAGGGAGGGAGAGATGGATGCAGGGGTGGGATGGAGGGATGGACAGAAGAATGCCAAGAGGGAGGAACAGAGAGAGGCATGCAGAGGTGTGGGGATGCAGGGACAGTGGGACACAGGCACAGCAGGATGGAGGGACATGAGGACAGTGGGACAAGGGGGCCGGGTTGACTGCCCTACCCCACATCCTAACTTGTAGGATGCAGAGGAAATGCCAGAGAGCAAGCAGATGGCAGCAACACCCAAAGGCCGGGGACACCCCCAGCACCCCACGCCTGTCATCCTCTGCACCTTCGAGCGTGAGCCACAGGACACTGGGGGAGGATTCTGGGGGTCCAGGGGTCCCCAATGCTAACACTAACCCAGAGCCTCCTGACATCCCTCCCTCCTTCCACAGGACCCAGCTCCTTCCAGCTGCGCTGTTACCTCTTCCAAGCACTGGAGCTGAAGCCCCGCGGCACCAAGACCACAGCAGGTGGGACCCCCCCCCCCCAGCACCCTGACCCCCTCCAGCAGCACCCTTGGGTGCTGACAGTGGGCGCTGCTCCCACAGACCCCGTTGCCCACGTCTCCTTCGTGCACGTCAGCCAGAGCACCCGCGTGCTGCCCGGCACCCTGGACCCGGTTTGGGATCAGTCGCTGCTCTTCCATCGGGTGCAGCTCCATGGGGACCCACGTGGGCTGCGGGATGAGCCCCCAGCTGTGGTGGTGGAGGTGTTTGATCAGGATGGAGGGGTACATTGGGGACACCCAGGGGTGGGGAGCACCTATAGGCAGTGGGCAGCCATGGGTGGGGGCATCCGCGCCCTGTCGCTGCCTCGTAGGGTGCTGGGAGCTTCCTCGGGAGAAGCGTGTGCACCCCAAAAGTGTGGCTGGATGTGGGGCACCGGAAGCCCCCCCGGCTGCAGAGATACCCACTGCAGGGGCCGGGGGGGCCGGCCGGGGAACTGCTGGCTGCCTTTGAGCTGCTGCACGAGGCTGAGGTGAGAGGTGGGCAGCAGGGGGTGGGGTGGGGGCTCCCAGAGTCTGTCCCCAGCATTCACACCCCTGTCACCCCAATAGGACGGGGCGATGGCGCGGCTCAGCACCCCGCCATGGAGACAGGGCACCTTCGGCATCCCCCCAGGCATCCGGCCGGTCCTGCGGCTGATGGCATTGGAGGTGATGCTGGGTGGCAGGGAGGAGAAGGGGGGGGGAGATGAGGTTTGGGGCAGGGAGGGGATGAGGACATGGATGAGGAAAGGGGTGGGGAGCGGGATGAGAAGAGGATGGGGACATGAACAGTAAGATGGGATGGGATGAAATAGGACAAAATGGGAAGGAAGGGGACAGGATTGGGTGGGATGGGATGCGATGGAAAAGGGAGGGATGGGATGCGATGGGATGCGATGGGATGGGATGGGATGGGATGGGACAAGATATGATGGGATAGGACAAGATGGGGACAGGGAGGCTGGGGACAAGGATGTGGACAAAGACAGGACAGCAATGAGGACAGGAATGGGAACAGGGACAGCAATGGAGATGGGCTGGGGATTGAGTTGGGCACAGGAATGGCGCAGAGATGGAGAATGGGATGAAGATGGGAAGGGGACAAGGGTGGGGATGGAGACCGGGAGGCAACAAAGACAGCAATGAAGAAGATGGAAATGGAGATGAAAAGGACAGGGATGCAGGAAAGGATGGAGATGGGTGAGGGACAGGGCTGAACGGATGTGGGCCCTGCAGGTGCTGGCGTGGGGGCTGCGGGGGCTCCGTGGCCGCTGCCTGCTGCCCGTGCGCGCCCCCAGCCTGGAGGTGCAGTGTGGGGGGCACGTCCTGCGCATCCCCCCCATCACCGACCTCGCCACCAACCCCAATTTCCCCATCAACGCCTTCCTGCTGACGCTGGTGAGCACACGGGGACGGGGAGCAGAGCCCACCCGTGGGTGCTGGCAGCCCGGGGTGACGGCGTGGCTTGGTCCCAGCACCTACCAGTGGAGGAGGAGTACGTGCCCCCGATCCGGCTGCGGGTTTTGGACACGCAGGGCTTTGGGTTCCGGCCCCACGTGGGCCAGGCGTGCGTGCAGGACCTGGTGAGGTTCCGCCGTGAGCCCGATGGAGAGGAGCAGCTGCCCCAGCCTCGTGTCCCTGTGTCGGGTTCTGACCCCGGTACAACCCTGTCCCACCCCCCCCTCCCCCTGCCCCATCTCTGCCCATCCATGCCCTCTCCCTGGGACCCTCTACTGCATCCCTGTCCCTCCCCCATCCCTCAGATATCCCTGTTCCATCTCTATCCCTACCACCATCCCGTTCCTATTCCTACCGCCATCCCTGTCCATCCCTTTTCTGTCCCTCTTATCCTCCTACCTCCTCCCTGCCCTGTCCCTGACTCCAGTTCCTCCTTGCCCCATCCCTGTCCCATCCCATCCATCCCTGCTTCATCCCTTTCTCATCCCTGTCCCATCCCTGTCCCATCCATGCCCCCTCCCTGTCCCACCCCTTCCCCCCTGCTGTCCCATCCCCGTCCTTCTGCAGGACGCTCACTTTGTGTCCCCCCCACACACAGCTGCTGCCTGGGGCAGGATTGCTCAGGTGAGCCCCCCCCGTGTCCCCAAAACCTGTCCCCACCCCAACAGCCCAGGCTGTGCCGTGGGGTCCCCCCGCCTCCTGTTCCCAAATGCCCCCCCCCACTCCCAACAGATGCTGCCCAAGGTGGCCGCTGAGAAGGGGGCTGCAGACCAGGTGGGCAAAGGGATTGGGGGCCACCAGGGGCCACCAGAGGCATCCTGCCTCACCCTGCTGCCCACCAGGACACGGAGAGGGAGGAGGAGGATGAGGAAGAAGGCGACTGGTGGAGCAAATTTTACATGGCCATGGGAGACAAGGCAAAGAGCCACGGGAGGACACACAGGGACAGCCTGAAGGTGAGGGGAACAGCGTGACATGGGCAGGGGATGGGGATGGGGTAGGAAGGACAGAGGTGGGGATGGGGGTGGGAATAGGGTGGGACTGGGACAGGGCTGGGGTGGTGGTAGGAACAAAGATGGGGATGGAGGCGGGGATGGTTGGTGATAAGGATACGGGGATAAAGAGGGGAACATGGTCAGGGATGGAAACCGGGGGAGAAACAGGATGGGGATGAAGGTTATGGATGGAAAGTGATGAAGAAGTGGTTGAGATGAGGATGGGGCAGAGATGAGAACTGCGGTGAATACAGGATGAGGACAAGGACGGGGACAAGGCTGGGGATGGGGGGGTGAAGACGAGACGAGGACAAGGACAGGAATGGGACAGGAATGAAGATGATTGGGGACAGGGACAGTGATGGGATGGGAACAGCCACGAAGAAGGGGACTGGAAGAGGAGAAACAGCACAGCAGGGATGGGGACAAGGCAGCCCCGCTGTGCCGCAGGTGTACGGCTGCGAGCTGGAGGCGGTGCCCAAATTCGAGGGGCTGCAGGATTTCTGCCAGACCTTCCCCCTCTACCAGCCGGGGGGGCAGCAGGGGGACGACCCCATGCCTGTGGGCGAGTTCAAGGTGAGACCCCCGTGCCCACAGGGACCCCAGACCCAGGATGGGGGGAACTCGGGGTGCACGGCCATGCTGTCCCCCTCTCCCAGGGGCTGTTCTGTCTCTACCCCCTACCCGAGGACCCCGGGGTGCCCCCGCCGCCCCGCCGCTTCCAGGAGCTGCCCCCCAGCCAACCCCAGCAGTGCCTGGTGCGCGTCTACGTCGTCCGTGCCTTCGACCTGTCCCCCCGTGACCGCAATGGGATGGTAAGGCCACCGCCGCGTCCCCCACCCCGTGTGTCACCGTCTGTCACCCTGACGGCCCCCTCCCTGCTGCCAGTGTGACCCCTACGTTCGTGTCTCGCTGGGAGCAAAGACACTGGGCAAGCGTGACCACTATGTGCCCAACACCGTGGAGCCAGTTTTTGGCAGGTAGGGCCACCGTGGGTGGCTTGGTGGCACTGCCACTCCTGGCTGGCACAGAGCAGAGGTGCCCAGGAGGGCTGTAGGGGCTCTGTGCTGGGGGATCCCCACCCCCCATGCCACCACATCCCTAATTTGCCTTCAGGTCTCTGTGCCAGCAGTTCTCTGTTAGTGTGTCCCTATTCCTCGTGCTGGAGGGACCCTGCAGCACCACTTCCCCCTCCCTCATGCCAGCAGGTCCCCATGCCACCAGCTCCCCATTCCCCATGCAGGTGTGCCCCTATAACACCGCATCATCATGGCAGCAGGTCCCCATTCCTCGTGACAGCAGGTCCCCATGCCAGCGTGATCCCATTCCCTATGCCACTAAGTCCCCATGCCACCAGCTCCCCATTCCTTGTGACAGCAGATCCGTAACACCAAGCCCCCACGCTACCAGGGTCCCATTCCCCATGTCACCAAGTCCCCATTCTCCACACCAGCAGGTCCCCGTGCCATCAAGTCCCCATTCCTCTTGCCAGTAGGTCCCATAACACCAAGTCCCTTTGCCACTGAGTTCCCACTCCCCATTGCCACCAAGTCTCCGTGCCACCAGCTCCCCAGTCTCCATGATAGCAGGTCCCTTAACACAAAGTCCCCGTGGCACCAGGATCCCATTCCCTCTGCCACCAGCTCCCCATTCCTCACAATAGGGCTCATAGCCAAGTTCCCATGCCACCGAGACCCCATTCCCCATGGCAGTTGGCCCCCTAAAACCAAGTCCCCATGGCACCACACCGGCTCCTTGTTCCCCATCATAGTAAGTCCAACAAAAATGAGTCCCTGTGCCACCGAGCTCCCATCCCCCACGCCACCAAGTCCCCATTCCTTATGATAGCAGGTCTCATAACACCAAGTCCCAATGCCACCAAGGTCCCCATGCCACCAGCTCCCCCTTCCCCATGGCAGTAGGTCCCATAACGCCCATTCCCCACACCACCAGCTCCCTATGCCCCCCTGTCCCCACGCCAGCACATCCCACACCTGTCAGCCCCTTCCCCGGTGCCAGCAGGTCCCCATGCCCACCGGTGCTCGTCCCCACGTGGGCTCACCTCAGGGCTGACCCCACTGCCAGGATGTTCGAGGTGATGGGCACCGTCCCGTTGGAGAAGGACCTGAGGGTCTCACTGCTGGACCACGACCTGCTGCCACCCGACCAGGAGATTGGAAGCACCACCATCGACCTGGAGAACCGGCTGCTGTCCCGATTCCGTGCCCACTGTGGGCTGCCCCGTCTGTACCACATGTGGGTGACCCCCGGAATGGGGAGGGGGCTCTGGGATTGGGGGTAGGGATGTGGGGAGGGGGTGGGTATGGAGGGATGAGGGCAAGGGAGGTGAGGAGGGCACAGCGGCATGGGGACAAGGAGGATATGGGGGGTACAGGGGTATGGGGACAAAGAGATGGGGACACAGACATGGGGAGGGCATGGAGGCAATGGGGACAAGGGGATGGGGGGCATCGGGGGACAGGGGGGCAGGGAGGTGGGCACAAAGGTGCGGGGACAAGATGGGGGGGGCACAGGGACATGGGGACACGGAGTTGAAGAGGGCATAGGGATGAAGGAAGGTGGGGAAAAAGAGTTGTGGAGGGCACAGGGGATGAAGTGGGTACATGGGATAGTGACAGGACTGGGAACAGGAAACGGGGACAGAGTGGGCAGGGATTTGGGGACGATGGGGTGGGATGGGACAGCAGCAGGGATGGAGATTGGTTGGGACCAAGGGGATGGGCAGAGGGAACTGGGAACAGGGAGGTGGGGCAGGGTTGGCATAGGGGGCATGGGGAGCTGGGAAGGGCACGAGGGGATGGGCACAGGGGAGCTGGGGATGGGGTGTGGGACGGGGTTGGCACAGGGTTGGCACAGAGGACACGGGGAGCTGGGAAGGGCACATGGGGACGGGCATGGGGAGCTGGGGATGACACAAAGGGGAAGACGAGGGGATTGGGTGGGCACGGGGCTACGGGGTGGGCGTGAAGGGATGAACACCACAGCCCTCAGCCCCACACTGCCCACAGGGATGGCCCTGGGCGCTGGCGGGACCAGCTGAGCCCCAGCCGGGCACTGGAGCACCTGGCTCACACCCGGGGGCTGCAGGCACCCGAATTCAGCGCCGATGGAACCGCCGTCATCTTTGGGGGCTCCACCTTCCTGCTGAGCCATTTTGGTGGGTTGGGGTCTGGGGGGTGATGGGGGGGGTGGTGGGGTCCCTCCGGTGGTCCGTCCAGAGGGTTTGGCATTGCAGAGAGTGGACCCCCCACATATCGTCACCCCGGGGCACCCCGGGAGCGCCTGGCCCTGCATGTGCTGCATGCATGGAACCTCGTCCCCGAGCATCTGGAGACCAGGACGCTGTACAACAGCGCCCAGCCTGGGCTGGAGCAGGTGGGGATGGGGCGGTGGGGGCAAAGAAATGTCAGGGGGTGATGGGAAAAGAGGAGTGGTGGGGATAGGGGAAGCTGGAGAGGTGCTGGGACTGGGGGTGGTGGGGACAAAGCTGAGGGTGGTGGAAACCTTGGGCATGGAGGGAATGCAGTGGGGCGAGAGGGAGGGATGCTGGTTTGGGGGCAGTGGGGACCCTGGGGTGACAGGGACAGCCCAGCAGGGAGGGGTGCTGGTTTGGGGGCAGTGGGGACCCTGGGGTGACAGGGACAGCCCAGCAGGGAGGGATGCTGGTTTGGGGGCAGTTGGGACACTGGGGTGACAGGGACAGCCCAGCAGGGAGGGATGCTGGTTTGGGGGCAGTTGGGACACTGGGGTGACAGGGACAGCCCAGCAGGGAGGGATGCTGGTTTGGTGGCAGTGGGGACCCTGGGGTGACAGGGACAGCCCAGCAGGGAGGGGTGCTGGTTTGGGGGCAGTGGGGACCCTGGGGTGACAGGGACAGCCCAGCAGGGAGGGATGCTGGTTTGGGGGCAGTTGGGACACTGGGGTGACAGGGACAGCCCAGCAGGGAGGGATGCTGGTTTGGGGGCAGTTGGGACACTGGGGTGACAGGGACAGCCCAGCAGGGAGGGATGCTGGTTTGGGGGCAGTGGGGACCCTGGGGTGACAGGGACAGCCCAGCAGGGAGGGATGCTGGTTTGGGGGCAGTTGGGACTCCATACCATAAAGCGATGCCTGGGGATGATGGGAACAGGGGGTGGTGGGTTGGGGGGGGGTCCTAACGCAGTGGGCACAAGGTGGGATGCTGGGGGTGGGTGACGGGGAGCTCACAAGGGGACAAGCGGCAGCACATCCACCCCACGGCACAGGGCAAGGTGCAGATGTGGGTGGACATCTTCCCCGCCAGCCTCGGCCCCCCTGGGCCCCCCGTGGACATCACTCCCCGCAAACCGCAGAGGTGAGAGCTCTCCACGGGACAGGGATGTCCCCGGGGGGAGGCGGGGGGGTGACACAACCCCCCTCCCCAGCTATGAGCTGCGCTGTGTGGTGTGGAACACCCGCGATGTGGAGCCAGGGGACATCAGCGCAGCAGGGCAGAGGATGAGCGATATCTACGTCACCGGGTGAGCGCGGGGCCAGCGCTGCGTCCCAAAGGCCGTGGGGACAAAGTGAGGGGGCCGTGAGGACAGCTGTTCCTCCCCCCCCCCACGGCGTGCAGCTGGCTGGATGGGCTGGAGGAGCAGAAGCAGAGGACGGACGTGCATTACCGGGCGCTGCAGGGCGACGGCAGCTTCCACTGGCGCTTCGTCTTCCCCTTCCAGTACCTGGCAGCCGAGCAGCGCTGCGTGCTGCCCCGCAAGGTGCCGTGCCCCGTGGGGAGGGGGGGGAGAAACGAGGTTTCGGGAGCCGAGCGTGACCCCCTTCTCCTCCCCTCGCACCGTGCAGGAGCATTTCTGGAGCCTGGATGAGACGGTGCTGAAGGTGCCCCCGAAGCTCATCCTCCAAGTGTGGGACAACGACAAGTTTTCGGCCGATGATTTTTTGGGTGAGGGTCCCTCTGCCCACCCGAGGAGGGGCACAGAGGGACACCCAGGGCTGACGGCTCTCCCTGCAGGTATCCTGGAGCTGGAGCTCACCCGGCTGCCCCGTCCAGCCCAGCGGCCGCAGGACTGCACCCTAAAGCCACGTCTGAGCCCCTGGCCCTGGGGGAAGGCTCGGGGACCCCCCCGTTTCTCTCTGTTCCGACAGAAGCTGGCGCGGGGTTGGTGGCCCTGCGTGGTGCACGAGGGTGGCACGCAGCGCATGGCGGTACGGCGGGGAAGGGGAGGGCAGTGGGATTTGTGGGGGGGGGGGGGGGGGGGAGGAGAGAGGGCAGGGAAACTCATCCCGCTCCATATCCACCCGCTGCTCCTCCTGTAGGGCAAGCTGGAGCTGAGCCTGGAGCTGCTCGACGAGAAAGAAGCAGAAGAGAGACCGGCGGGGAAAGGCCGGGAGGAGCCCAACGCGTACCCACCCCTGCAGCCCCCCGTGTGAGCCTCGCAGATCCCGAAGGGCGCAGAGGGGGAGGCAGGGGTTGGGGTGACGCGGCTCCTCGTCCACCAGGCGCCCCGACTCGTCCTTCCTGTGGCTGCTGGCCCCAATGCGCGCCCTGCGCTACGCCGTCTGGCGGCGGCACCGATGCCGCATCACCGCGACCGCGGCGCTGCTGCTGCTGCTCCTTCTGCTCCTCAACTTCATCTACTCCGCCCCGGTGAGCGCAAAGGGCCCCCAAAACCCCGTCCTGCTGCTCACGGAGCCCTGCTGAGCCCCCCTCCCCCCGTTCCTCCCCCCTCAGGGTTACTTGGCCATGAAGCTGGTGAACCCGCTGCGCCTCTTCGGTGCTGGGAGCAAACACTGAGCATCCGCAGCATCAGAGGACGGAGCACCGAGGGGGCGCAGCCCCGTCCCCTCCTTAATAAAATCAGAACTGAGACGGGCGAGGCAGAGCGGGTCTGCGAGCAGAGCGCCAGGAGGAGCTCAGCACAAGGAGCGCAGCGCTGCCACACACACACCGACATTTATTCCAAGACACGTTACAGCTGGGAAGAGGTGCACACGTTTCACTCCTGGCTCTCAGGCAAAACAGAGGCAAAACATCACAGAGTAGCCCCCCTTCCAGGCCCCACAGCGGCTCTTCGGGCACTTTAACAAGCTTCCATCCACCCCAGTACAAGCATCCTGCCCACAAGGCACCGTTCCCCACACGCTGGGACCCATCCTGGGTCAAAAACAGCTCCCAGCCCTGCCTGCAGCACCCATGAGCAGAGCGCTGCCACCTGGACGTGCTCAGAGCTCAGGGACGCACCGAGCTGCCGTCCCTGTGGGCACCCCGTGCCATCGGCCCCCAAATCCACGAGAGCAGCTGCAGGAGCCCAGTGCAGACCCCGGGGCGACGCTGCTTCTTCCCATGAGAGAAACACAGCGAGGAGTCACTGACAGAAGCAGTCACTGAGGTAGGAATAAACCAGGACTCCCTGGAAGGCAGCGAGGGCTGCGGCTCTGAGAGGCCCCCGTGGTTCAGCTGCTGCTGCTGGGAGCCACGAGCCGGCAAAGCAACGACATGCAGGCGGTGTTGGAGGTGTGTGGAGGCACAGAATGCCAGAGAGGGACAGAGCCGGGCCCCAGGGCAGCAGCAAACAGGGACTGAGAAGGGAGAGTGTGGTATCGAACCCTGCCTGGAGCGGGGAAGCAGTCAGCGTGTCCTCAGAACACCCAGCACCGGGGGTTAATGGATGGAGGGGCTGCACAGAGGTTTGAGGGGCGAAGAAAAAGCAGGAGGGTCTCTAAAGAAGGTCTGAGGTGGGTGACGGGAGCAGCCTGAGCAGGAGAACAGCTTGGCAAAGCCCTCCTGGAAACGAAACCGCTGCAAAGGGGTTGTGGCAGGAACCCGGCGAGGAAAGCAGGGCTGGGACTTCACAGCCAAAGCGGTGACCGCCGCGGATGTGCGATGGCAGAGCCAGCCCAGCGCCGCCACCGCGCTGCGAGCCACCTCCAGCAGCTCCCAGAGCCCAGCTCCAGCTCCCAGCAGGGGACAGCAGCTTCATCCCCAGCACAACGCGGGTCCCCTCTGGCACCGGGGGAGTCCAGGAGCCCAGTGACAAACAGCAGCCGTCCCCACCGTGGTTCCTGGGGACACCGGGGGCGCTGCCACGAGGCAGCCTGTCTCACTGCAGCTTCAGTAGAAATGCTTCCGGCTCTGCTCCTGCCACTTGTTGTACACGATGACTCCGATTACGATGGCGAAGACGACGGCCACGAGGGAGAAGAAGACAATTAAGAAGAGAGCCAGGCCGCTCATGGGCTCCAGCGGTGCCTCCACTGCAGGGGAGAGGAAGAGCCGTGAGGCCTCGGTTGCTGCGCAGCAGCTCATCGCCATCCTCCCGACCGAAGCGGCACGATTCCTAACAGAGCTCAGCTGCTTCCCTGCTGAGACGCCACAATTCGTGCTCCTCCACCCCCCGCTTACTTCCTGGCAGCTTGAGGTTGTCCACCACAGGCAGGTAAACCTCCTTGTCCCGCCGCTCCTCCTCCGGCGTCCGCTCCACCGTCAGCTGGTACAGCTTCAGAGAGATGATGTCGTGGTTGTCTGCGAGCAGAGCAGATGAACCCTGAGGCGTCACCCACCAAAACGGCCCCAGCCAGGGATGCCAACGCCACTGGTGGCACCGTGGGACGTCGTCGCTCAGCCAACGGCCCCGGGATGCCAGCTGTCCCCTCCCAGCAGAACTCACCTCCTCAGGGCTCTGAGCTCTTCCAAAACCTCCAACGGGAACCTTTAAGCTACTTAAACCAACAAACAGCCCGGACCGAGCCACGGTCTGACTCAAAAGCATTCACGCTCCCCCATTGCAAAAGCAGAGTGTTAGAATCAGCCTCACATGACCCTATTTCCTCTGCTTGTGACCGGGGTGTTATTAGTGGGACAACGCGACTGCTCCAGGCCAGCCTGCCAGCTCCCAGGGCATTAGGCAGAGATCTGAGGAAGAAAAGGAACTTTTGTTGGAGCCAACACCGGGCCCAGACACCAGCCAGTGCACTTTCATAGGGCGTAACTCAAAATCAGGCTTAAAACCTGCCCGGAGAGACAGAGCTGGGTAACTCCGGGCCTCACAGCACCCCAAGCAGCACTGCAAGAGAAGGGGTGAGCAGAGAAAGGCAAAGGGCTTCAGCTCCTGCAAAGCACCGCTTCCATCAGCCCACACTGCACCCTTCCCCAGCACCACTGCCCTGCAGTTAGGAAACGCAAAGAGCAGACTCCAGCTGCTCTGACAGCACAGCCAGCACCTCTGTTCTCACAGCGTTTTAACAGCAGTGTTTTAACCCCCAGAAGCAGGACAGCAATGACCTCAGCACTGCCCTCAGGCTCTGCCCACATCACAGATGAGATTTTCGGCTCTCGCTCTGTTCTGCTCCTCCTGAGGCACACAACTTGGGGACCAACCCTGCCGAGCAGCTGCTGTTTGGCAGGAGGTGCTGGCTGAGCTCTGCCCATTCACTGCCCGGACGTCACCTCATCTGATGGCAGAGGGAGCTCAAAGCTGCCTATGGAGCTGCACAGCACACCCAGACCGGGATCCGAGCTTCCCAAGATGAAAAACAAAGTTCCCTCAAGCAGGAGGAGATCCTCAGGCGCTCTGGAAGCCCCTCCACGCCTCAGCTGCACCTCCAGACACCCAAAGCCGCACAAGAGCTGCTCAGGGCCCACGCAGCAGTACCTGAGAGGTCTCCGGTGACAGAGGAGGTCCCAAAGTAGTACCCACGGGGCAGGCGCACGCCAGGCACGTCGATGCAGTCCCTCCACTCCTGCTTACCATCGATATCTATCAGCACCTGCAAACAAAGAGGTTCTGGTAGCACCAGGCGCCAGCACGGCTGCCCGAAAGCCCCCCAGCAAGCAGCAACTCACCGTCAGCCTCCTCTTGACGTAGCGGATGACCAGGAAGGTGTCGTGGTTGAGGTTGCGCACCATGGCTGTGCAGCCCCCCAGCTCCGTGGGTCTGCCGTCCCTGTCGTGGTCGTAGGTGAGGGAGCCGTTGTTCACCATGGCGGAGATGTAGGGGAAAACACGCTGCGGGGACAAGGGCCAAACTCAGCTCCCAGCTCTGCCCCGGCATCGCGGCGCGACCGCGGGGTCTGGAAATGCTGGATTTCGGGTGGTCCCAGCTGGAAGCAGGAGCTGGGATCACTGCGGGTCCTTTCCCCACTCGGGGTATTCTGTGATTCTGTGGCTTCCTACTGACCCCGGGTTCCTTCAGCCCAGCTACGCTTCCCCAAAAGCTCCATCCCTGGTCATCCCCTCGCCTTGGCTACCACACGTGTAGGACAGAAGAGGAAGTTCTCATGCTTGCTCCCTGCTCACACAGGGGAGCCTGCAGCTCCATTGAGGGAATTCCCTTACCGAGAGGACAAAGTATCACCAAGCAGCTCGGAAATGGGGATGTCAGCAAGAGCAAGTACCTGATTTCCTGGGCTGTACCTCCTCTTCTGAGCCTGCGAGTCCAGTATCGCAAAGCAAGAAAGAGCACAGAAGCAAAATGGTCACAGACCAGAGTTTAGCAACTCGAAATTGCAACCTGGGAATCTTCTGTGTGCAGCTCAGCGAGGGCAAAAGGCAGAGGGGGGGTTCAGCTGCTGGGGCTCTCAGGCAGGATGCAGCTGGCGGGCTGGAGAAGCACAGCCACAGCCCTGCACATCCGCGGGACCAACACGGCACCGATCCCTGCACGGTGCCAGGAGCACCACAGCCTTCGGTCAGAGCACACCAAGGCACGGCTACGAGCACAAAGTCCACCCAGGGCCAGAGCAGGCTGCTAGCAATGTTTGCTCGTTGTTTATTCAGCAGCTGCAAGGTCAGGGCGCATCGCAGCGGTGCCCCCTGCATCCTCTGGGGGCTGCAGAGAGGAACCAGGGCAGCCCTGGGGGTACGGGGAGAGCAGTGAGGTTGTGGGGGTAAAACAGCGCCTGTTCACCAGGAGAAGCCGCAGTTACAAAAAGGCGAATCGTTTCACAAGTGACAACAAAGCAGCACCAGGATGGGGGAGGTCAGGTTTTAACCGCCTCACGACCCCAACCAACACCAAAAGAGCCCCAGGCAAAAAGCAGCCCCAGCAGGCAGAGCAGCAGAGCGCAGGCACGCTGTGCCCCCTCCAAAAGCAGCCCCAGCACGCAGCCAGCTGGGGGGGCTGCCGGGCTGCTGCTCTGCTCGAGCTCCATGAAGTCCACGTTTGCTTCCTGCTTGCCTGCAGCCTTCCAAAAGCTCAGCAGCTCACCACGCAGCGGTGGTGACCCATTTGTTTTCTCCTACCCTGCTTTTTCTGGGTGAAGGTGACAACAAATCTGCTCACAGACTGCCTCACTACAAAGAAACCGACCACGCGGGGAGGAGAAGGAGGCAAGGCAAGCTGAGTAATCCCTGCTGGCAGCCAGCCGGCCTCCAATTTCAGATCCAAAAAGCTCACACCTCGCTGGCTGCAAGTTGAGCTCGGTGCTGAGCTGCCCACACTGCAGCCAGCAGGGCGCACATCAACCCCAGCTCACCTCCTGCTGCTTCTCCTCGTTGGGGTAGGTGTCCACAAACACCCCCAGGCCCAGGAAGTTATCCTTGCTTCCAAAGACGGGCCCTGGGGGGAAAGGACAGACAGTAAGAAGGACAGAAAAGAGACAGAGGCCCTGCAGTTCCTCCGAGTGATCCAACGGAGTGCACAGAGCCTCTCAGGCCACCGCGTGCCCCAAAGAGGTGAACCAACAGCCCTCCCTGCAGGCACAGCCTTCCTCCAGCACGGTTTACCTTGCTGCATGCGGTCCTTGGTGTACCAGATGGCAAAGCCGTCACCGTTCAGGTTCTTCTTGCCTTGCCCG